AATTTGAATGAAAACTGACAGAGCACATCCAAGATACCGCATAAAAAAACAAAAACAAGATGCCTGCCAGTCGACCATCTTTGATCCAATTGCGAAATATATCGTCATGGACATGTATCCTAACATGTATAATCTATGTACCAAGTTTGAATGACAACTGACAAAGCATGTCCAAAATACAACATTTTCAAAAAACAAGATGGCTGCTAGTCGGCCATTTTGAATCGAATCGCTAAATCACTGCATGTGCATATGTCCCACATAAGGTACTAGGCACATGCAAAGAATGAACGGAATCGGTCCACAGGATTCTGAAATATGACGTTGGATAGACTGACGCACGGACAGACGGACACACGGACGGACTTCCTCAGGAACTCACGGACAGTCGGGGACATGTATCCTAACATGTATGATCTATGTACTAAATTTGAATGAAAACTGACAAAGCATGTCCAAAATACGACATTTTCAAAAAACAAGATGGCTGTCAGTCGGCCATCTTTGATCCAATTGTGAAATAAATCATCATGGACATGTATCCTAACATGTATAAGCTATGTACCAAGTTTGAATGAAAACTGACAAAGCATGTCCAAAATACAACTTTTTCAAAAAACAAGATGGCTGCCAGTTGGCCATTTTGAATCGAATCGCTAAACCACTGCATGTGCATATGTCCCACATAAAGTACTAGGCACATGCAAAGAATGAACGGAATCGGTCCAAGGGATTCTGAGATATGACTCCGGACGGACGCACAGACACACGGACGGACAGAGACCGAATTATAAGTCCCCGTTTTTGGACTTCGTCCGAACGGGGACTAATAAACAAACATTTGATTCTCTAGGTAGGAAGCTCTAGGAAAATTGGTCAGCCTTCGATGAAGGAGGCAATCAAGCAAAATTGTCTACAATGAAATATGGATGTAGCACAAAACCTTTGTAGCTTACTGTAGTGTTTTATTACAATATTAATAGCCACATCTAAATGCAGACATTCAGTTCATAAAAAAAGTAGGTGACAGCTTTTGCTTTGTATTCAGAGTACCGCTAAACTCAATGCAACATTTAAAGGGGAAGTATTGGCTAACAGCATGATATTCCTAGATAAAAAGAACTCCACAAATGAAAGGAAATGCAATTTACTGCTTTTCTCTATTATGTCTCGTTTTATAAATAATCAACTTTTTAATTAGTATAAGTTGTCCATCATTTTGGTTTTACAGCAATGAATTATGGGTAATATATGGACATCACAACATCTGTTGCAAAATATTAGGGAAATGATTTCATCCATAATTTGAAAAATATAGAATGTAAATTTTGTTCAAATTTTCAGTGTGTATATGACTTGTGTAATAATAATCATCTTTATTGTTATCTTATCGACTATGGGACTTTGATTGAAGAATACAATAAAGGTATAGCAATGAAAAAAAAAATTAAATGAGATTAAAAGAGTATTAATAAAATATAATAAATGAAAGTAAATG